AAGACTTTTTGTAATCCCTGACAACTGCGAACACCATAGTTGCTGAAGGATGAGTCTCCAGGATCACTTCTTCATATCTGATTGAAAGTGGGCAGTGAAAATAGGCACTGTCACACAGACAACAATGGATTCTGACATGGAGCATCAAAGTGAAGTCAGACCACAGTAAAAGTAAAGACTATGATATAATTTGAGGAATTATGTGAAAACATAGTTTACTTAAGAGGGAAGACATAAATTTTAGTTTGATTAATGTTCTCAAAGAGAGTTTTTATTGGGATACCCAAAAAACTTAAAATGTACTTGTACCAACTCTGACTTCCAAAAATGAATATTAATAAGGAATCTCAAAAGTCAAATTCAGATTTTCCAATTCCTTTCGGAAATTCTTACTGGAGAATCTTAATAAAACCCTAAGGAAAACAGACCTGGTGAAATAAACAACCCTGTTCCACAACTCTAAGTTGGAAACACTAACTGACTGTACGATTCGGGTTAAACTACAGTTTAACAACCTAAAGGCTCTGTTCACTATGATATCACAGTTAAAAACACCAAGAGAATTCACCCCACTTTTGATTCTATTAACTTTATAAGGTTTTCATGTTAATGAAAAGTACATTTTTAAGTCAAGGAAGGTTATAAATGCTCAACTATTAAAAATGAAGTGTTGGGCTGGGGTTGTGGCTCAGTGGTAGAGCACTTGCCTGGCATGTGTGAGGCATTGGGTTCGATCCTCAGCACCACATAAAAATAAATAAATAAAGATATTGTATCCATATAAAACTAAAAAAAAATTTTTTWWAAATGAAGTGTGATTTAATAAAATAACCATTATCTTATTGCAGTCAACACTAAAAACTATACCTCTATATTTCAGGGAAGAGAATGGTATTAATTCACCAGTGCTTATAACTGAGATAACAAAATGGTACTTTAAAACTTAAGACTAAACTTATATTACATTACGTTCGACTTCTGTATGCAGGAACTCACCTCCTTACTGTACATATGAACTTATAACATGAATATTATTTACCAGTGCTTTCAACCTACCTTTAAGAAACTAATATTGCTAAAGCATGAAATGAACTGATTAAGAAATGGTCAGAGTTTGAGATATCCAGATATCAAGTGTAAGACTAAATAACCTACTGACAAGACAGGCTATCTATATCTCCTGAGATATTAAAGCAATCAATAGTTTCCTAACTTGTATCTGCTCAAGACCCCTTCCGAACTTATAACTTTGTTTTACAATAAGAAAAATTCTAAAACACCAAGCCAAAAAACAAAGAAAAACACAAACTGAAAAAGAAAGATGAGAAAGACAAAGGAACATAAGAAAATGAAAGATGTCGACTTAATTAAAAAAAAAATTTAATGACCTTGATATACCACTCGTTCCTAACAGTCTAAAGACTATCAGGCAGCTGCACACTTCTTAGTACAGGAATACTCCTTAGACCTTGTTGCCTTCAGCAACAGCTAAGGGATTTGTTGCTGGAAAAAAGTAACAATTTTTCCCCCTTTCTTCCATTTTGAGATAAAAAGAAATTATAAGTTTATTCAGCAAAATCTTTCATTTTTCATTTCATTATGAAAAAATAGGGGCTTAAGGGTTTAATATTCTTATCACAGGTCATAAATCTAAGTGACAGAGACCAACATCTAGTACTCTACCTCTCTCCATGATATCTACCAGAGAACACCTAAATCTATGCATTAGGATCATCTGTAAGGGTCCATGTATACACACATGCAGATTTTATACACAGATGATATATAAAAATCTCGAAGGGCAGTTTCAAATTCCATTTATTACTTCTTAGGAAAAAATCAGCAGCAGCAAAAAATGTGTTTCTCCTCCCCATTTTCCTCATATAAACCCAATGCAGTTTGCCAATGAACCCTTAGCTTTTGTCATGAACGTCTTTAAAATATATTAAAGTTATATTAAAGTGAAACCCAGTGTCAATCTTTGGGGCTTTGCCTAAATAAAACTTGCCCCATGATATAGGTTGCTTCTCATCTCACTGATTGAAAACCCAACACATTGCACAGCTGTTGACCATGATAAAACCTACTGGTTAACACCAGGGTAAATCAGTTTCACTTTCAAGGCTGTTTTCTTTAGATTAGCCAAACCACAACCACATGGGAAGCCTAAGAGAGAACACCCACAGAGCTTAATAAAGGCATGGCCCACAGATCTTTATTTCTTCTTCTACTCCCTTCTCCTCACCTGCTGGTTGAGCTCCTTGATGCCTCTAGGCTTCCCATTGACCTCCTGACAAGATCAATAACCTCCAAGGGATAAAAAATACTCCACCCCCACGCCCCCACACTTTTCCCTTTTTTTTTTTTTGGTGGTGCTAGGGATCCATATATTTTGGTTTAATTTCCTTGTTGTGCCTTCTTGACCAACATATTCAAACCTAACTTGCCCCTGGTCAAAGCTCTCCTACAGAGTGGCCTATATAGATTTACAGCCACTCTTAAAAGATGTCAAGACCAAATTAGAAAATATCACAACAGCTTAAGAGCTTGCCAAAATCAAACTCAGTGCGTCCTTCAACAAATATCCCTTGTGCACTCTACATTGTGTTTTATTATAAATCCAGGCATTGAAGCTTAAGAGCTGCCTCTGTCTCTTCTCTCTCCCTTACACCCTTTGTACTATTTCATCCATTGATGGGTCTCTGTGATCTGACACTATTGAGTCTGTGCTGTTAATTCTGTCCCTTGAAGAGTCTAGAACTAACTCAGTGATACGGAGGCACCCTGTAAGCCCTTCGGAACTTTTTAGAACTAAGTTCGGATGCAGAGGGCTGTCCCTTCAGCAGTGATGTGGTTCAGGAGCTGTTTGGAATTGCGCTGAAATTAAAACCCCTGACGCTAAATCTGTTTGATTTTCTTTGGCTGGCATTGTGCTATCTGTTAATGGAATTAGTTGCCAAAATAAATAAAACATAAAACTTACAGCATTTTTGTTAAAGATATGGAAAGATTTCTAGCTTCTTTTGAAACACTGGATCAATAGTTTTATAAAATGTAACAATCAGGCAGGAATAACTATTTTCCTTAACCATGTTTGCCCTCTCTCACCATGTACCCCACTTTCTATTATTTTTCCAGAAAATGATGTCATTATCAGTTATCTTCATGCTTGCACTGTTGTTGTGTTAGGAAAAAGATATATTTTGATATATTTCTAGTACACATCTGTTAAAAAGTTATTCCCTCCTTACATGAATTTTATGCACTTGAAAGGACAATGGATTTACAAAGTGTGGATTTAAATGCAAATCACCTACTAACCTTAAGTTTTATAGATAATACTACAATTCTCAAAGAGAATTACCAACATCACTATTATTGACTAAGGACATTTCTCAGCCCAAAGTGTATATTTAATATACTTTTATGATTACTAAGACACATCAGCTCATGTTTAGGTCCACAGTCCTTGGAGAAAGATAGAAAGTAAAGTCATTACTGCAGCTAAGGACAGAGAAATRATCAAAATAGGATAGGCTTAAGAGGTTGAAAGATAAAAAGGAAAACAAACCCATACCTCCTAAGAAATCTAAATGCAAAAAGATAAATACATGTTTAAGATAAGAATTTAAATACAAATCAACATAGGGTGTCAACTATACTTCTTGACAGTATATTTTAATTAATATTTGACAATAAAGACTGATCGCAAATTTTTGTCATAGAATACCCTCACCTAATAGAGCACCTAAGTAAATAATTTCAGTTTGGAAATTCTGTCTGTCTCATGCTTACATCCAGGGAAGAGACTACATATAAGACCTTCTTAGTTAATCAGACTTCAGAGCAGTTGCTGAGGGGAAAATAGGGAATGGTACAGAGCAATCATTAATATGACCTTACAAATCACATATCTAGACAGCCACTTTTGTACTCATCTGGATAATGGAATAACAGAGGATTAAATTGTAGGACAATTCAAATTCATAAAATTTTCAAGGGACTCTTAAGACATCTATTTGTGAGCTCAATATTTAAGAATATTTTTAAACTTATACTACTAAAATCAAGACAACAGTTTGTTATTTGAAAATATCTTATATTGGAGAATCTGTATCATTTGTTTATAATATAATCAGGCTCGAAGGAATCTCCTCATCCAGCCATAAAAGGGAAGCAGGTAGTTCCCTACTCCTTAATAACTTTGCTTTTGTTTTTATATTCCGGGCTCAAATGTTAGAGAATTTCAAAGATTTGAAAAACACTGAACTCTGAATCATTTATCACAATTTAAGGTGACGCACTAATGAAATTAAAAACTTTCTCAGATTTGGGGAATTCCATTCTGTATTGCAAATTTACAATGTACTAAATTCCAACTCCTCCTACAATGTCTTGATTTCTAAAAATAAGAAAGCAAATTCTTAGGAGACCACATTCACCAAGATTGTGCCTGACAGAATTTACAAATAACCCTTGTAAATAATTAAAGACAACACTTTCCATTTGAGAAACTGATTTATGTATTCTTCAAAGGTGAGAAGTACATCTGTTATACATCCAAATATGCTCTGAATGACACAGGCAAACTTTCGTTTGTAAGCAACACTGGTAAAAATGTTTAAATTCTCAACCTTAATGTTACATAGTGCAACATTTAATTCCTCAGGTTCCATACGGAAAACATAAAATACTCATTTAATGATGAGATTTCCATAGGAATGCAGCTCCTTTTGGTATCATAATTCATTAGGAATAGTGGCAGCAGCTGTGCTCTGAATGTGAAGACAATACATAGAAATATTACCAATAAAATCTGGAGTTGTAACAATTTGCAAAGAGAAATAATATGTCTATTTAAATACCATTTAGATATTCGAGGCTATGAGACAACTGATGGAAATGGAAAGCACAGAAAGTAGCTATAGATAAAAGAAGAGTTCAGTAGCATTTAATGAACAAATCAACACCATTGTCCATCACGGCTCACTCTGCCTTACCTGAGGAGGAGTGGGTGTGGAAGTGGGTCTCCCTATAGGTGGAGTAGGATTTCTGCTTCCACCTCCAGACATAATCTCTTCGGTTATGTCTTTACCTCCCTGGTTTGGATCTCGAATTCTTATCTACAAGAGTAATAAAATGGCAAAGGAAGAGATGGGTGTCTACTTAGCAGATTTACAGGCATATGAGTTAAAGGTATAAACTGAAAAACCTATCAACCTTCAAGTTCATAATCACCACATCTGAAATTAGACCATTACCTCTGAGAAGAACTAATTAAAATAATAAGCCATAATGGAACCTACTTGGCTGAATTTCTAGATCAAAACTGCAAAATATTTACACTTGTTTAACAAAACAGTCATATTAATTTTATTTACAGAGTTCACAAAACAGTTTTTACATTTAGAAGTTACTAGGCAAAATAAAGTTTTAAATAACCTAAATGATTCTCTAACACATCCTGCAATATAGGAATAGAAATTTGCCCAATACTTTGTAAGTAAGCTCACTGAAGTATTATTTTTCCCAGAGAAGAGACCAAAATGTCAAAAAGGCAAATCAAGAACAGAATAGTTTAAAAAAACTATCCTACATCTTTGCAATTAAATATCAGTAAAAAAAAGAACCTACCATACTGATATGGAATAATCATCAAGATGTACTTTTTTTGTTTAAGAAAATGCTAATCACAGAACAGTGAGTGGTCTCATTTTAATTTTTTAAGGCCCCTATGTTTATAGATGTCAGTGGAGAAGGTGCTTTATCAAAGTCAGAACAGGTCCTGGCAATCCATCCTGGTATGAAGGGCCCCCTCTGCTGTTCGTGACCTGTATAGCTTAATTCAGGTAAAGTTTCTTGGATGATTTCTCAGAATTCACTAACAAAATCATCTGGATATGAAATTTAGAGGGGAGTGACTCTTCAATTAAAATTTATACATTGGCTAATTTTTCAGGTATAGAAACTTGTTTCTACTATAGTTTTAATATTGCTTCATTTATTCTAGTTTATTTAATAATAACATCTATTATTACTGATTTCCATTTTCATTATCACTTTATTCATTTTTCTGCATTATGAAATTATTGTTTAAGTCCAAATTGTAGCATGCTGATTCATCATTTCCAAAGCATAGTTTCTTGACTCTACAAGAAACTATACAATTTCTTGTAGAGTCAAGAAACTACACTGGTGTGTCCTGTTTATAATGACATGAACACGCACAAGTAATTTGGTCCTAATAATAAAGTATCACATTTTAAACCTCATTCAGTTTTATTAAAGTGCTTCAAAAGTATTGCTGTAACATTATTTCTATCTACTTTATTCTGTATGAATGTGGGAGTGTCTTTTGATTATAAATGWAATCCATTTTATAAAAGATCACAAGCCTCTCTTTTACAAAAATACTCTGCAATTTGAATTTTATGTTTCTATACTCTATACTCTACTATACTTAAATCTCTCGGGCATAACTTATTAGATAAAGTCTCAGTCTTTTGTTTTTAAAATTTAAAAAACTTCGAAATGCTGATTTGTTCTTTTAAATCTATTTCACAAAAGGGATGTTTTTGTTGTTTTTTTAATATTTTGGCTCCTTTTATTTTTTCTATTAGTTAGCAGGGAGCTAATTAGGATTGGTGGTAAAAGATGGTCAGTATATAAGAACTGAGCTAATATTCCTCCCACTGAATGAGAACTTAGCACACTAAATCATCAGTTCTRAGGCTGTCATATAGCCCAGTGAATGGTGAAAGCTGATATCAAGCAAACGCTAAGTACAACTTCTCAATAACAAGCCAATAAAAATCCTCCAGGTAGAATTAAATGGTGAGGCTATCAGGGAAGAAACAACAACCAAAAGAACACTTATGTAAACTGAGATGAATAAGAATTTAGTAAAATTATTTGATATGTGAATAATGTGCCTTTTTAAAATAAAAAATTAATAAAGATATCTTACAGTTTTTTTCTCTCTCTTGGCTGGAGGGGGCTGTTGCTGTGTAGGCACTATGATAGGTGCTGACTGATAAACTGGCTGACTTGGATAAAAAGGCGTTCCTAAAGAAATTGAAAAAAATAAAAGCATTCAGTTATTTTGTCAAACACATTGTAAGACCATCAATGACACTGTGTCACTAGAGAATCCCTTTTAAAAAGTAAATAAACATCATCTACTCAACATTCTGAGTAATTTCTTCCCACAAGCTCTCCTCCAGTTACTAAAGTGGTCAAGAAATTACTCCAAAAATAGGCAACTTCTTGAACATTCATAAACATCTAATATGAAAACAACTACACACAGTAGAACTCCCCTGTGGATTGACAGCAGGGTTACCTTTCTAAAACATAAACTGAGCTATAGTGCTGCTTTTAAAACATCATATTCTGCCAGTCCACTACCTGCAATAGTGACTCCTAAATAAAAGTGAGTCTGTGTGGGGGCTTGGTCGGGGAAAAGGGGGAGTATCCTAATCATCTGGGGAGAAGAGGATGGTGAGATTCTTACTGATGGAGCACCAGGCCACAGGGAGTCATGATATGTCCTAAAGTTTGTGGGGAGGGGAATGAACAAGTGGCCTAAAGACAGTGGCCAAACTCCAGGTTCTCACTTATGGAACCCGCTGCCCTAGTTCTAACGTATTCCTACTACATCCTTGGAGTACACCAATCTCAACCAAATTGAACAAAATCAATCTCCTTCACTTTGTTCATGCCTTTGACTATACTCCTGCTGCTGCAGGAGTGCCTGAAAATACCTTCCATCCCTGGTACTCCCAATGAACCTTTTCACATTCAAAACTTAAATGTAATTACTATCAAACTAAGTGCTTAGGAGTGAAGATAAACTGCATATTTTGAAAGTAGAGTATGAAGATATGATGAAGAGATGGATGCTGGTGTGAGAGGAAGACGACTTAGGAAAAACTATGAAAGTGTTTTGCCTAAGCAAGTGAAARAACAGAGAGATTATTCATGGAAATGAGGAAAAATAAGGGAAATAAATCAAGAGTTCAATTTTGAGCAAGTTTGAGATGTTTATTAAACCTTCAAATGGAGATACCAAATAAGCAAAAAAAGACACAAATCTACAGTATACCCTTTTAATAATTGCTAGAATACAGATAACATAAACCACAAGATTAGATAGTTTATGAAATTAGTATACTTTTTTTTTTTTAAAGCAGCAGCAGGAGCAGCCAAAAGTTGAAATCTTTGTTAGGGGAGAAAACAAGGAGGAAAATCAGCAAAGGAAATGGAAAGGCAGTGGTTGAAATGAAGAAAACCATACAAGAATGAAGAAGTGTACAACTGTATCAAAAGGTCCTGAAAGTGCAACTCAAGATTTGTTAAAAGTAGAAATCACTGGTTATCCCTAAAAAGGTGTTTGGGTAGAGAGGTGACAGGGTAGAGGTAGGTCTGATGTGGGCAGAGTCAATAAGTAAAAATGACAAAAGAAAATGAAGTCAGTGAGGATAGATAACTGTTTTTCTTGAAAGCTTTCTTGTGGAAGGTAAATGGCTAAAAGGGGCTATTGCTAAAGAACAATAAGGCATCCAAAAGAAACAAATTTAATATTGGCATAAAAAACATATCATCTGTTAACGGGTGACAATGTGGGGAAAAGAGGAATAGCATAGTGACAGCTTTAAGTGGGTATAGGATGGAATCTAACATGTGCATAAAAGGATGGGTCTACTGTAGGAGCAAGGATATGAAAAAGAAAATAAATGTGCATGAAGGTTCAGGTAAAGGTACAGGAAAAAAACCTGTGTTACTAACAAACAATACTGTTGGCCTTATTATCACTGTCATTTATATGATCAACATCCTCACCACCATCATAACATCTTGAAGTGAAAATTTCTTGGAAGCAGTAAGATTTGCAGTATCAAGACCTTAAAGATATGAATCAGGTTTAGAGAATCGTATTTAGAAAAGAGGTAGGTATAGGGCAAGACTAGAGTTTCAGTTAAGTTCAATGCAAACTTACAAAGAAAAACAACAAAAAACCCCAAATAGACATCTTCTACCAGCAAGTAAATTATACTCACAGTAGAGCTTTAATAATTTTATAGTCCCCTATTACATCATTAGCTACGAAATTCAGAAAACTAACCCCTAAAATTGGTTTCAAATGCAGCTAGACAAGCAACATAATCTGCCCACCTTCCCATATTTTTCAAGCTAAGTAAAATAAGATGTCAAAGGTGAACTCTCTTTAAAATAAATAAACAAACAAACAAACAAACAGATATAGCATTCTTCTAATGAAGCATTTTTGAGTCAACACAATTGGCAAGAAGGCTGGTATATCACATGCTGCAGAATAAATCTGACAGAAATGGGTGTTTTTTTCAATACAGTGTGGTTAAACTCAATCAAGTAAAAGATGAAATCTTTTTCTCAAATGTGGGCACCAGCAGAAGAAATCTACCCTACCAAACAACAGGAACACTGAAATATACTTTTTGTTATATTAAAAATGTGACACGTACAAAACCTGGATTTGATCCCCAGTTACATTAAAACACACACACACAGAATAATTTTTGCATACCATTTATCAGATAAGAAAGTTATTTATTATCTCTGTACCTCTGGTTTCCTATGCATGGAATGAAGTAGGTTTGGTTAGATCAGTCTTTCAACTATAGTCTGAGGGCCAAACCCATCCTACCACCATTTATTTTCTGAATAAAGCTGAATTGGGGCCAAGCATGGGGGCACATGCATATAATAATTCCATGGGCTTGGGAGGCTGAAGCAGGAGAATTGTGAGTTCAAAGCCAGCCTCAGACACACGGCAAGATGCTATCTTTAAATTTAAAAAGTGCAATGTGGCTCCAGTGGTTAAGTGCCCCTGGGTTCAATCCCTGGAACCAAAAAAAAACAAAAAACAAAAAACAAAAAACCCAAGTATTGAAAGACATTCCTACAAAGTAGTTTACCTACTGTGAATGTTTTTTGTTTGTTTGTTTGTTTGTTTTTCGTTTTTTTTTTTTTTTTTTTTTTAATTTTGTGTGTTGCTAGGCATGAAAAACCCAGGGCCTTATGCATGCTAGGCAAGTGCTCTAACACTAAGCTACATTCCCACCCCTTTTCATTTCACTTTGAGACAGAATAACACTGAATAGTCCAGGTTACTTGATCTTGCAATCCTTACGYTTCAGGGCTCCCAAATAGCTGGTACAGGCAGGCACTACCAAAGCACCTGGCAGCCAAGGCTGCTTTTACATTATAAGGACAGAGTTTGAATAGTTGCAATAGGTACCATACAGCCTGCAAAGCCTGAGATATTTAATATCCAGTCCCTTACAGAAAAACTGCTGACCTACATCAGTGGCTCATAAACCCCAACTTATCTAAAAGGTATAAATGATGTGTGGCAAAATTTATATAATAATAACCATGGGAATTTTACTCAGCAATAAAAGAGAATAAAATCATGGCATTTGCAGGTAAATGGGTGGCAATGGAGAGGATAATAAATACTAAGCAAACATAGCCAATCCCAAAAAAACAAATGCCGAATGTTTAATCTGATATAAGGAGGTTGACTCACAGTGGGATAGGGAAGGGGAGCATGGGAGGAATTGATGAATTCTAGATAGGGCAGAGGTGTGAGCGGGAAAGGAAGGGGGCAGGGGATTAGCAAGGATGGTGAAATGTGACAGACATCATCATCCAAAGTACATATGTGAAGACACGAATTGGTGTCAACATACTTTATATACAACCAGAGATGTGAAAATTGTGCTGTATACATGTAATAAGAATTGTAATGCATTCTGCTGTCATTTATTTAAAAAAATACAAAAATAATAACCATGAAATACACATAAATATTCTTATAGGTTTCCCAASTTCAATTTTTATAAAGAACTATGCCTATTTTTAAATTATTTTAGTCCACCAGTCCTGGTGGCAAATACCTGTAATCCCAACTACTCAATGGTTCCACAAAAAGCATTACTTAAGGCCCAAAAATGCCATATAGGTCAGCAGTGTGGCTTGGCTATGATCAGGTATTCATGCTAATCTAGGGAGATTGCAAGTTCAAGCWTAACCAGGCAACTAAACCAGATATCGTCTCAAAATGAAAAATGAAAAAGTGGCTGGGTATGTATTTCTGTGGTAGAACTGCTTGCCTCGTACTGCAACCCCAGGTACTGCAAAAAAAAAAGAAAAAAATTTCAGTACTACTCTTTTGTTGTTAAAATACCTTTCTTATATTAAAATAATACTAACAGTAAATGGCAATTTTCTGTAAAGATCTTATTGACAAAAATAAAAATGTAAAAGTCCTTGGTGTATCCTCATTTATTTCATTTTTTATTCATTATACATGCCTATAGTATTAAAAGGTCTAGAACTACTAGTGTAACCAATGGTTAAGTTTCTTCTCATTGGTAAAACGAAAGCATAAATATGAAACAAAGGTATGGTAAGATCTAGAAAGACAGGGAAATATCTTTTTCTTTTTTTTAATATTTTCTTTTTAGCAGTCATTGGACATATAATTGGACATATAATATAAAATTTATGTGGTGTGGAGAATCAAACMCAGTGCCTCACACATGCTAGGCAAGTGCTCCACCAATGAGCTACAACCCTRGCCCACGGGAAATATTTTAACATCTGCATTCCATAAAATACCTATTCATGATGTTTTACACATTATAGGCCTTCTAAAAACATCTGGAACTTTGAATTTTCTTCATAAATGAAGATGAACATAGTGGTTCAATGTCTAGGTTGACACGAAAACCCCAAAAGAGTTCAGGAAAAGATGGCAGAGAGGAGGAAATCATATAAAACTAGAAGAAAGTGAAATATACTGGTCTGAAGCAAGAGTGAATAGAAACTGTAACTATGCTTAATTCTCGATCTTTCTCCCCCCCTCCTTTTTTTTGTTCCCCCTTTACCAACATTATTGCAATGACTACCCATTAACCATCCCACCCTCTTTTGCCCATGAATCTAAATTTGCCATCTTTGGGCCAAAATCCCATAGGATTGATCTAAAAATAATGTCATGTCTCCATTAGGTATTTGTATGACACAAGAGGAGAGGCCTCAAAGTGTTTAAGAAACACCAACAAGAGAAAAACTGAAAAGTTTATATCGAGTAAATACTATTATTAGTTCATTTTCTTTGAAACTATACAAACACTCCAGGAATTATAATGAACTAGGAGAATTTCTGGATCATGATTAAAGAGATTGATGAAGACAAAAATACTTGAGAATCATTATTCAAGAGTTCAACTACAGGGGCTGGGGATGTGGCTCAAGCCGTAGCACGCTCGCCTGGCATGCCTGCGGCCCAGGTTCGATCCTCAGCACCACATACCAACAAAGATGTTGTGTCCGCCGAGAACTAAAAATAAATAAATAAATAAATAAATAAATATTAAAAAAAAAAAGAGTTCAACTACATATGGAAATAAAATGGTAGCATGCTAGAGTGGAATATAAAGCTAAAAATGGAAAGGAAGGGGCTGGGGATAGAGTTCAGTTAGTAGTATGCTTGCCTCACTCACATGCACAAGGCCCTGGGTTCAATCCCCAGCATTAAATACCCCCCCAAAAGAAACAACCAGCAAAAAAAAAAAAACACCTCTGCAAAGAAGACCATCTAATTCATAAACTCAAGCAGCACAGTAAGAAGGAACAAGTCTCAGGATCTGTTCCTAATAGGTTTTGCCAGTGGATGGTTTTCTGTCTCAGAACAGGACACAAACTCTGATCCTATTCCCACATCCATTTTGAATCCATGCCAACAGAAGAGGTAAATGATGAAAACAATGACCTAGGAGTAGAAAGAGGAGAAAAGGTTCCAAAAACWGGGAATAGGAAGTGGAACATTCACGGCTTCTGGACCGTGAAGACCAGAACAGCTGTCCCCAGATGTTACAGCTGAGGGACTTATAACTGATGGAAACAACTGCACCAGACCCTCTCATTATGATACAAAGATTTTTACTACTGCCTAATGTGAAATCTGAAACGGCTACCCAAATTGTGAAAATAATCTATACTTCTAACTGTAAAGGATTAAATAAATTATGACTCATTCCAAAAGCAAAATCCTATATGTAATGAAATGTTTATGAATATTCTGTGAGCAGGAGGGATTGATAAACCTCCAGAAAGTTTTAGAATATTATGAACAGTTCTATGTACACTTGAGATAAATGGAAAAATATAAATCAAACCATGAAATGTTGCTTCTTTAGGGGATGGGAATGAAAAGAAACTGGCTATTTCAGCTTTATATATTTTCTATAATGTCAATTTTTGTCATTAACAATTTTCATAATAAAATAAACTTTTCTTGTCTTTTTTTTKGGGGGGGTGTGCTTGGGGTTGAACCCAGGAATTTTGCCCAGCCCTTTTTTTATTTTTTCAGACAAGGTCTCGTGTAGGACAACACACTTGGCTGAAATAAAGTAATTTAAGATCAGAGTGTTTAAATCCAGAGAATAAATTACCCATTAGATGGTAGTTGGACTTGCAAAAGAATTTACTGGGGAAAACAGAATTCTTATTAAACAGAACAGACATCAATAATGCCTGAGCAATAAGTGAACCTTAACACAGTTCATTTTCATTAAAATGATMATTTCTAACAGAAATAAAGCAAGCCAAAATATGGTATAACATTGTATAGTCAAATCTACAAATGATTTCATGACTAGTAAACTCATCCATAGTTTATACACTGCAGTCATTTATAAAAAGCAATAGAGAGGGCAGTTAGAAACTTGTAGTAAAAATTTGACCCATGTTGTTTTCCGAGTCCACAGGTGATTTACATAATCTATGAGTAAACAGAAACCTTTTAAAAATGATTTTATAATTATAAGAAATAATTATACTCTCTTTGTAACATGGTACTAAAAGAGAAATATTGTTTAATACTAGTATGTTTATTCTAAGAAGCTCATCTTAGGGGCTGGGGTTGTGGCTCGGTGATAGAATGTTCACCTATCATGCTTGAGGCACTGAGTTTGATCCTCAGCACCACATGAATATAAAAAAAAGATATTGTGCCCACTTAAATCGAAAAAATAAGTATTAAAAGAAAGAAGCTCATCTTACAATTTTCCTATTTTAAAAATAATTAAAAAGATAGCCAATGTTATACTTACAAATTACTTTCATTTAAATTTTCAGAATAAGGATCAATATACTGTATGAAAACAGTGACTTATAGCTCAATTCAAGGGATACATAAGGAATACTTGAACAGTACCAGCAATATTTTATCTCAAAAACTGGGATAGATGCAGTGGCACATGCGTGTAATCCCAGTGGCTCAGGAGGATGAGACAGGAAGGAGGATCACAAGTTCAAAGCCAGCCTCAGCAACATTAAGGCGCTAAGCAACTCAGTGAGACCCTGTCTCCCCAGGTACTGCCCGCCCCCCCAAACCAACTGGGTATTGGATGTGTTATTTTTAAAATTTATATACATGGGGCTGGAGATGTATCTCAGAGAAAAACACTTACTTTTAGCATATGCATGGCTCTGGGTTTGATCCCCAGCAAAAAACAAAAACCCCCCAAAACAAACAAAAAACTCACATATTTGAAATAGATGCTGTTCTGAAAATATCAAATAAACATATATTCAAGGCATTTAACGAGGTTTAACATACATATTTGAAATGGCAATTTCAAAAGGCAACATTAATATTGGCCAAGGTACCTACCTTCTCTAAAAGAAGCAAAGTCAGGTATACATGGTTGCTTTGCTGATTTCACCTCAAAACTAAAAAAAAAAAAAAAAAAAACCTTCCCTGGGCTACTCTAATATAAATCAATTTTATGAAAAGGTTCTTAACTAAGCTATTAAATCTCAATGTAAGGAAACTGGCTAATGGACAGATTACTATATTAGGCCAGTTAAAATTTTAAGGTCTGCTTTGCTGGTATTGGGAGTTTGGGGGAGACCAATGCTTATTTAATTTTTAAGCTTAATTTTTCTGGTATCCACTGATTATATCCCTAATAATACTGTAGAATTAAATTAAGTGTCAAATACAATAAAAATTTATTGGAAATATAAGTACTTCTTAATACATCTTGGTTCAGTATTGGCTTAAATGTCATATATAAGTGTGGCATTAAAAACACCTTTAATTTTTCAAAGCATTTTTACTTGAACTAATCCTCAAACCTTCCCATGGCACAGATTATATCACAATTTTGCAGATAAATAATCATAAGTTCACTGAGTTATCCTCAGTCCTCCCACATACACTCTCCAAGTGCCTACTAATCACTGTTTCAGGAGCTGGGGATATAGCAGTAAATAAAACAAACTAAAATYCCTGCCTTTGTGGATATTACATCCCAGTGGGAAAGACAGACATTACTAAACTCTCTCAGATACARGGTRGAGGTAAATACCTGAAGAAAAATAAATCAAAGGGCAATAATTATATTTATGCCATCATAGCAGATATCACAACTGACACATGGGCTCATTCAACCAGAACTACCAACTCCTTCAGAAGGTGTCATGAACTAAATATACTCCTATAATACTCTTTCCTTGTAAGCCACTCTCTCAAAAAAAAAAAAAAAAAGTAGCTTTCAAGACAGAAGTTTGCAAGATTTTATTTCCAAATTCTTCCCACAAGTAAGCTTCAATGCCTAAACTAACCTTTGAAATAACAAATTGAACACAACAAACTAGCAGAAGTTGTTTGATTTTTTTTCCTACTTACCATAAGCATTAGGGAAGTCCCCAGGTCCTGGTCCAGGATAAAAGGGACCCGGTCCCGGTGGCTGAACTGGATATTGTTGTGGAGGCCCAACATAAGGGGGRCCACTATGACGGTACTAGAAGAGAAAAAGTATAGCATAAGTTTATGCATAATATGAAGGTAGCTTACTATGGAAAAACCAAGTAATATGTGTGTGTGTGTAATCATTTAAAAGAGGCGAAGATATGGGTGGTTATACACACACAATCAAAATGTTTGCTTCCCATCCAGATGCAAGCAAAATGAAAGTAAAACTAATCAGCAAATCAACACAGGCAACCATCAGCTCAATACAAAATAACTTCTGGCTGTTAACTTTTAGTTCCAATAAATGACATCACAAGAACAAAATAACTACTAAGTCTATAGAACAGTCTGGTTGTGGGAAACAGAAAAGGTAAGAGCTACATGTCTCCATCATCTTAGGAATTTTTGAGTAAATACACACATATACACACAAATTTTTTTGGTAAGAAGATATTCAATTATCTTATTGTAATTTTATGGGAAGTGACCAAATGGCTAGATCTTCATAGCCAATGAGAAAATTTACACATTACCAAAAAATCAATGGTATCAACCACCCTCCCTGCTAGCCTCTGATGAGAATCTGGGTTAATTCCCACTTTATGGATGGCCTAGCTGGGCCTGAGTGATACTTTACCTGTGGTATGCAGTACTGAGGCCCCTGGGGTACTGGGTACGGCATAGGCAGATGGTTAACCATCATGATGTGCTGATTGGTCTGGTACACTGCAGTGGGTGTCTGTGCACCAGGACGAATGGAAGGACTGCTGTTTGGGATGGTGGCTCGAGGAGGCTGAATTTGAGGCCTCTGGAAAAACTGGGAGGGGGAGAAAGAATTTTTTTTTAATTAAGGGGAATATGTATGTTTTACTATCTTGAGTTTTCTCCTTTTTCCACTAATAATAATCTGATGGACTCCAATTCGAAATATAATATACATGAAAAGAGAATAGACTGCCTAATGAATGGGTTCACAAAATATACTTCATATATTAAGTAAAGTTCTGATCAGTGTCTTCACATTTGAAAACAATGGGGTAATCTCAACTTTAAAGCCTCAGCTGTTTGAAAATGAATGTCCTGGACCATATKATTAATTTTTAAATGCAATATAAAAACATAATGTAATTTTAAAATAAATATATTCAAAGAGTATCTGATGTTTCTCTAAAACTTTTCTGATGTATAACTGTTGCTCTTTCATAATAGGTGGCTCATAATCAACTCGTTAAAAATTAAAAGTAGTTCCCCTCAAAATTACCACCCAAGTTTTATAAAATGTTTTAAGAAGTCTCTCTGAATAATAAAATTTTTCTCAAGTGTTCTCCCTCTTGTATTTGGAATCAAATTGAGGCCCTCATACAAGGTAGGCAARTGCTCTAACTCAGAGCTGCATTCCCAGCCCTGAATGTAAAAATTTCATCCCAGTTCATTCAAGGAAAATTAAAATGATCTATATGTTGTCACGTGCCGAACTAAGCGTTCTTTTTGAAAAAGGTGACAAAATGCCATCCTAACCTGAACTCAATTTTGCTTTCTAGAACAGTTTGCAATCAAAGTAGAAAATCTAGACAGGCCTGGAATGGTCTAGAATGAGCAGAACTCCAATCTCTCAAACAGCAACCACTACCTATAATTATTTATGGTTCTCACTGCAAGCCTAAAAGCCGTGAAACTGTAGACCAATAACATATTTCCAACATGAATGCATTTATTTATCAGCAAACAACCAATCTCATTATAATAATAATAATAATAATAATAATAATAATAATAATAGGACAGAGAAATAAAGAGGCCATGCAGAACCAGTAGTTTGTTACCTGAATGGGTCTGAATCCTCCCTTCAATTATGAAGCAAGAAAGCAGCAGGAAACAGAAAGAAAGCCAATGGAAAAGCTTACAGATCAGTAGGAAGGGGTAGACACAGCATGCAGCTCAAAAAAATCTTTCTATTTAGTAATCATAGGAGAAGAAAGAAGTCTAGAAAAATCGAAATGACAATTTTCCACTTGAGAATTCAAACACATGTGGAATCAAAGCTTCAATCACATTTAATTGAAAATAAGTAAATCCAGTAACAACAACAAYAACAAATTAAAGTTTTATCATCCTAAAAAAACGATTGTTGCTTGGTAGCACAAGAACAGTTGGAACTACTGATTCCTATTTAGGCTCATAGATGGCCATTATATGATTTGGCCATTATTATTATATTTAGCTTTACTATGATTTACTCTTCATCTTAAATAGAGATAAGATTTAACAATAAAAGTGTCATTTGTTATTTAGGAGTCTGTAAATGTCCTAAGAAATAACTAAAAATTTCAATTTAYGTCAGACTCTGCATGATAGAAACTTGCTCTTTTCAACTAATCAATCAGACATMTAATAGGCCAGATCTAAAATGGAGAGCTATAAAAATAATTTTTAAATGCTGTCTGGAGCCAAGATCCCCTGAATTGTTTCATAATTCCAGACATGAGTGTTATAACTGGTTCAAATAAAGCCAAACTTTGGCATCTGGGCCCACTCAGGACTTAYTCTGTCGTATTCTTAAGCATTGAGATACTCCAAAAGTATAAGCAACTGGTCATCTTGTGCTGAGGTGGGAAAATTGTAATCTAGTGCCCAAGGCTCATCCCCATTCAACCTTCATACCTCCAGGCAAATAAAGCCCCTAAGAGGTTAAGTCAGAAAAGCAAGAGAAAGATAAACAGGAGAATGAAGTGAATGGGGGAACCCAATGGGGAAGGCCACAAAGCAGCTGATAGAGATGCAAAGAAAGCACAAGAGGCAGAGTTGATATCCCAGGAACCTGGGACAGGCCCAAACTATAGAACCAACTCCTAGTTATCTCCACTGACACACTGCAGTGACAGGCACAACAATTTTTGTTGTCTTCAAATAGGAACACTGAAGGAGTAAACTTCCCATTGCTGGACTGAAGTTTCAAAAACTACATAGCAGATGCAATCTATTATATATAAATGTATGTGAGTTGTTAACACTTTTCCCAGATGAACTTAAGCATTTTGATAATACAGCTAATATATCAGGACCACAAAAATGTTACAGGCTTCAAGGAGAGGAAAGTCATCCATCTGCTCAAATTATTGACTATTACTAGACATCAAGGACAGTGGATAAAAAGAGTCATACTGAGTTCCTTTTCCATCAACTCTTAGGGGACCGCCAAAACAAGAAAACAATCAAAAAGGTGATAGATAGTCTACTTTGGTTATATTACCACCAAATTTTGTTAAGGCACTCACATAATTGCCTAAAAAGACATGGCACTTTGGGGTGGCAAAGGAGAAGGGAAGAAACTTACACATTCACTTACATAGAGTAAGAAAAATAGATAAGGGCAAAATTTTCCCATAATTTTAACATTAARGGAAGACTTTTCTTAAAAACTACTATTTTCATATTACTCTAATGGAATTCGTAACTAGAATAACCTAGGTTACATCTTATTCAGGGGGAGTTTAGAGTAGTATTTCCTTCAGTGACTGAAACAAAAAGTATTTCTAATGATACTCCTAATATTAACATACAGATAAGCCAACAAAACACAAAATTTGTAGTTAYACTGACATACAATAATGTTCATACACTAAGATTTCAGCTTTGAAGCTAGGTAGAAATGTATATAGGCTCTTAAAATAACAACAGTGACACTTTATATGGTACTTACTACCTACCAGGCAACATCCCAAGCAACATCCTCAGGACAAATCTCAAAGGCAAGCACTACTATTAACACCCCATTAGATATGTGGAAATTGAGGGATATGGAGATTAAATTACTTGCTGAAGGTCAATTCCCATCTACAATTTAAACAGTCATGTTCCAGGTATGTACTTTAGGTTGCCCATGCTAGGGAAGTGCTCCCTCACTGAGCTATACCTCTAGCCTCTAGGTGTGTACTTTTAACTATTATACAAGCTACCTTCTCATGACCTTGAACAACAACATACTTCAAACAAGTGTGGTCATCAGTATCCGAATTGCATTTCACTATGAAATAGAGCTGTGAGATTTTAATATGTATAGGTCTAGAAAAGCTGTACCAGCTAGAAATTCAAAGAAATTTTTTWAAAAAGTGGATTCTTATTTCTGTGCCTCTAACTATCCAATGACAAATGAAGAATTAGATTTAGTAGTAGGACAAAAAAAAAAATCAGATTCTCAGATGGATGGGCATTGACAATAAACCCAGGTTATTAAAAGGAATATATATTAGAAGGGATTTTCCCCAACTGCTTACAATCCTTCTGAATTCCTTTTCTTCTTGGAGGAGTAAAGAATCATTTTAAGAGTCAAACACTCCTGGTTGGAAGGACAGCATATGACATTTAGTATTATCATCTACCTAAAGCTACAAAGTCTTTTCACAACATGCCATTGGCAACCCAAGTCACAGCTCTATTTCATAGTGAAATGCTTTCTTTCTACTGGCTCCAAACTTTTCCGTCTGTATCATCTGCCCACCCACTCCATGTGCATCCCTAAAACCACAGTGAAGTCAGATGTTTCTCCATAAGTGACACATCTCCACATTACCCCAAGACTGTCACCACTGTAGACATTCACTCCACTATTTTTTTCCCAAGCCAATCACCTCCTTCTCACCACCTGTCAACATGGACTCTGAACTTCCTGGCCAGCTTGCTCTGTCCTCTTAATTTGGTCCCATTAATCAAAAGTCTCACAAAATAGATAACCAGACATAATATTCAGGTGAGGTCTGCCTCACTCAAAATATATCTGCTAGACTGGAGACAAAGCTCAGTTGTGGAGCACTTTTCTAGCATAAGAGACCTTTGATTCAGTCCCTAAAACCAAAAATAGACAAGAGGAATGGAGAGGAGGGAATGGAAGGGGGATAAGAGGGGGAAGAGAAACTATTTGTTGCTGAGTGGGCAACATTTTCTCAAAGTACTACCACATGTGATTCATTAATGAAACCAAGAATCACAGAAACGCTTTTGTCAATTACATTTTGCCACTGACTAGTACTGAATTAGAATAATTTAAACCCTTAAATCTTCTTTATAAATAATTTGTCAATAAGCTATGCTCTTCACTTCTGTGCTCTTTGTTTGGTTTTGAAGCTCATATAGGGATTCTTGCTATTTGTTCCTTTGAAGCATTTATCTGGCAAATTTAACCAATCRGTTCAGATTGTACAGATTTTTTTAGATAACATCTTGATCATGCAATACCAAACTACATGACCATTAGAACAGAGAAGAGAGAACCATGCACAAGAAAAGAATCATCTGTTCAAGTACTTAAGTTCCTTGTCTTTTAATGGTTTACCATATTGCCAGAGTAGAATGGCAGAGCAGAATAACAATACTCATTTGATATATAATTGGGGGCAGATCCAAAGAGCTAGGATACACTTAAAAAAGAGGCTGAAGGTGGAATATTCATGATTGTGTATTTTTCCAGAAACATTCCAAAAGCCAGCGAGAAAAATGTTTCCTCTTGTACAATTCTTCTAGAGATGCAATAATTTACCACTCTAGCCAAAGCTTCCTGGCCAATAATAATAGTATAAATGCTTTTTAGAAGTTGCTAATAATTATGATGCATTATTTTGCATGACATTGCTCACTGAAAGCATCAAAAACAAACACATCTCTAACAAATTATATAATCAGAAATTCTTTGAAAATCTCTACTCATTTTTAGCATCCAGAAAAATCCCATTCAATCACAACAGTTCTTCCTACATGAGGAGGGGAAATCTGAGTACTTATTATTTTGGAAAGCAATAAACATACCAAAACTATGTTTCCTGA